GACCGACCTCTTAGACAAGTTATAAAGAATTTATATCCGAAAGATAGTCAGGCTACATGGAGTTATAGTGACAGTGGTATCCGACAGAAATCCCAGATTCTACCTCTCAATTTTGGTCTATTTTTTAGCAAACAATGGAAACGAAATTGTCCTTCAGCGCCGCATTCTACCCTCAAATCGATAGACAATCAGATTGGACAATTCACACATCGGAGGATATGCTCCGAGCTTGTGTTCTAGACTTCAGAGGCCATTGGGATGATCATCTACCATTTATAGAACTCGTCTATAATAACAGCTACCAAGTAAGTATCGGTATAGTACCGTATAAGATATTATATGATCGACCTTGTAAGTCATCGATCTGTTAGGAAGAGGTGGGTGATAAAAAATTATTTAATTCAAATCTTATAGAGGAGACTACAACCAAGATAGTTAAAATCAGGAAGAACATCCAAACAGCTCAGAGTAAGCAGAAGAGTTATGCGGACACTTGGAAGAAATATTTGAAATTTGAGAAAGGTGATTAGATGTTTTTTAAGGCTATCAATTTCAAGAGAATCAGTAGGTTTGATAAGAGGAAAAAATAAAATCCTCGGTTCATTGAATCGTATGAAATCTTGTACAGGATTGGTACATTCGCCTACAGACTAGCACTATCTCCAAAGCTATCCATAGTCCATAATTTGCTTCATGTGTTTATACTATGAAAGTACAACTTGGACCCTTTACATATCCTGTTCACGAGCCCCTCTCACTCTAGGAGGATCTATTTTATGAGAAGGTACCAATAGATATTGTGGACCAGAAGAGATAGTACTTTATAACAAAGAAATTCTCTTTGTCAAGATCTTATGGCAGAATCACATACAGGAAGAGGTCATTTGTGAGCTAAAATTGGAGTTCAAATCTCAATACCCCCAACTGTTTGAATAAGTGAGAGGGTGACAAATTTAAGGGACTAAATTTGGTCCGGGATTTGGTCTGGGATAATTTTTCTCATTTATAAAATATATATAAATAATTAAAAAATTCATTTTAATTTAAATTCTATTAAATTTTTAAGAAAAAATGAATTAGGAACGAAATTATAAGTAATTTTGGGAAAATATGGTGAAATTGAGAATAAGATTTGTGTTTTTGAAAGAAAATTTGAAAACAGGGGGTAAAATCGCAAAAATAAAAAATTTGGCCACGTGGAACAGCCCAATCAGTAGCCACAGCGAACCAGAACACACCGCGTGGCAAACACATTGATATCGGCACCACGCAGGAGGCCACACGGGCAATCTGCGTGCTTGGCAATCCGACGGTCCATATCACATTTTGTGCGCACAAATGGCCTATATGCATTTCATCTTCAGGCGCAATTGGATAGATGGATTAATCGTGATGAACGGTCTAGATTTTTTCACACAATTAGCCTAAATGAAAAATCATCGAACGGTTCTCCTCGCTCCACGTCGACTCAAACAAGTAGTTTGGATCAAATGGAGAGGAGTATTTAAACTCCTCTTCGCAGGAAATCAAAACCTTAACCGATAGAGGGGTGACTGGAGAAGAAGAAAAATAGTGACCAGGGAAATTATTAGAGGCCAGAGAAGGAGGCCGTCCACCATCGCCATCGTACTAAAGGCACAACCGACGCCAAAACATGTACTTTTTTCCCTTTCACTCGAAATTTGATCCCAAGTCTCTCTATGGCCAAATCAGAGCCAAAAGGTCAATGGGTGAGACGAAAAGTGAGGGCAAAGCTTCGTCAAGCTACCGTGGCCAAAACCCAAAACCCTCTTTAATTTACCCCTTCTTGTTTCCCGTTTCACATTATGATTTGACCACCGTGTTCATCGTCCTTTTTTGGTACAGGTTAGCCGAATAGGAACATAAGCGGTGAAGGAGGACTAGCAAAGCCGCCGCACCCAGAGACCCCCTGCTATTAAGTTTTGATTTTTTACCTTTTCCGGCTAACTGATGCTCTTTAACATAATTTTTTGTTGGGTTATGTGTAAAATTAGCTAAAACTGGCGAGATCGGGGCGAACCGCAACTGTAGACGGCTGAGCTGGCGCTGAATCACGATTGCATCGCCATGCTGAAATCCTAAAAATTTGCCGACAAGATTTTAAAATGCTTATTTTGGCCTTTTGGTGTATTTTTGAATACGTGACGAGTATTTTAATTTTCACATGAAAAATTCAGGAAACCTAAGGACCACCATGAGGTGCAGTTGATATTATGGTATTTTGAACACTGATCCGGATAAGAATTTCTCACCCTATCCACTGTTACGTAAATTAAAACTTAATAATTGATAATACTGTATTTTATGAAAATTAAAAAATTCTAAGAATAATTACATGTCATTAATGGAGTCAGAATCGGCCAGTTCATATTTACACTGGTTTATTGTTTATTTTACCTGTACTACTTAAAATGCTTACTATTATATTGTGTGAATTAAATTGATAGACTTAATTGCTCTCTCGGTTATTTGGTTTACCTCACTTCATACTCTCAATTTGTTGGTTTATTTTGCAATAAATGTTTGAGTCATGTTTCCTTATATACGTATCGCATATTTGCATGATCTACTATTGATATGTAAATACAAGTTATTGGTATATAGCTGGTAATAGGTTTATACTTTGAATCTATGTATGAAAGACTTAATGGGTATCTTGGAAAATTGTGAATGAACCCAGTACGTAGGAAATTCTACTATGGACATTGCCTTAATTAGACAAGGTGAGAAATCCTATACTAAAAGAGTTTGGAAAATCTAATTCACCATTATACCAGACGAGATATCGAAGCGATGATGTGTTTAGCTCCAATTATCGAACATAATATGGGGATGGCCGGATTAATCGATAAATCTAGATATTAGGTTCATAAGTAGGGGAATATCCTTATGAATCTCCAAAAATTTCAGTAAATAAGTAAAAAGGAAAATTGCAGTTCTTTGTCACTTGTAAATGAAATTATATTGTTATCTAAGTAATTTTCTTTATAGGTTGATTTTGGAAAACTCATAACCATAAGTGTGAAATGAACAATTTTCTTTATGTTAAATGAATTTATTTAAATTAAAAGTTCCATTAGTTGTTTTATTTTTATTTTTATCAACGTTCGATTTCCGTATAAGTGATTAATGTGATATTTTTACTGAACTAGTGTAGTTCACTCTCCTATTAATAATTTCAGGTCAAGAGGACCAAGATCAAAAAGAGAGTTGTGAATAAGTTTTTTTTCCGAATCCTATCGAATGTTAGTAAAGGTTAACTCCCTATAATATTTATTTACTATTTTCAGTTATTTATTTTGCTTCTTTTTATTAACCGCTATAAAAGAAATATTCCTGTAACCCTACCATGAACGTTGCTTCATACCGAACGGAATATCGATGTTTAGTAATTTGGCACTCAAACCGGACGGAGTATAAGATGACCTGTTTCACCTTCATATCAGATAGTATATCGAGGTTTGGTAATTTGGCACTCATACTGGACATGATATAGAGACGGCTCATTAATTGAAAATGTTAAAAAAAAAAAAATTAACGCGTAGTAAGAACATCCCTATAGACCCCCATGGATACCAGTAAGTTGATAAAAGAAAAAATTGTTGTTCTAACCAATTACAAATGAAATTATGATATGTGTTATATTATTAACTCTATAAGTTATTTTTGTAAATCTCTTTATGATAACTAAACGATAAATAATTTTATTTATAATAAACGAATTTACTTAATTAAGAGTTCTATTAGTTATTTTTATCATTTCTACCAACTTTCATTTCTATATCAATGAATACCGTAATATTTTTACTGAAATAATATAATTCATTATTTCATTAACCATTTCAGATCAAAAGAATCAGGATACAAAACCCGATCCACAAGAAGATTATGAATAGGATGTTCAGTTTGTTTACTTTTAATTTATTTTTTTGATCATTAGTTATTATTTTAAAAAAATTATTCTCATAAATCCTCTTTAGTACTTTCAGTTATTGTATAAAAAATATAAACCCTAATTATTTATTTCGCTTTCGCACTAAATTTATAATTTGTCTCTTTTAAAATTCCAAAATCGTTACAGTTTCCACTGAGTCAACAATAATTTTTCTCTTTTATTTTATTATTATGCTTTGTAGCATCATTTTTCTTTAGTATATTGTCTCAAGTGTTTTCTAGCAATTGAATTCTTGATTATGTTTTCATTGTAATAAATTAATATATGGGGTAAAAATTATAATATATGAGTAATATAAAAAATATTTGTATTTTTCATAAATAATCTAAAGATATCTTAATATATCAATTAATATATTATAATTACAAGACTAAGTTTGGAAATGAAAAATTAATCAAGATAATTACTAACAGAAAAATTATTGGGCAACTCTTACATACTTTTATAAATAAAAAAATGCAAAATATTGTTTTGCGAATCTAAAGGATATAAATTTAACGTTCATATACCAAGTAGAGCCCAAAAATTTTAAAACTATAAATTTCAGTAATTTAATTTTTTTTTTAATTAAAACCTTAAAATGCCAACAGATCCTGTCCCCTATCAGACATAAAATTCTTCTAGGTTTTACTCAATACTTATTTAAGCAATTAATAATTATTAATAATTAGAATGTAAATAAATCAAATATCTATTTCTTCTCCACAAAATTAAATATAACAAATGACTTGCAATAATTTTTTACAGTAAATAATAATACATATCCTTTTAAAAAGACATAAAAAGTACATTACTAACTTAAACTCACAATCCCTATAAAAGAAAGGAAAATAAATACTGACTGTTCAAACAAAAAATAATTAAACAAACCAGAATACAAGTTAACTTCAAACCTGTAACGGCCCCGGAAAATATTAAAAAGGAAATGAGTATTTAAATATATCGAATGCGGAAGCGAGATCAAAATTTCAGTTAACATCCCTTACACGAAAAACCAAAAAACGTACTTAAAATATAAAAGGTTAAACTAACTAAGAAAGAAAACTCGAAAATAAACTATGCGTATGACTACAGAGTCTCTAGGCATCCCCTTCGTCGTCCTCCTGCGAAACGGGCTCGGGAACCATGTCTTCCTGATCTGAAATGGTTAATTAAGGAGTGAGCTACACTAACCCAGTAAGAACATCACGATATCTCACCGTCACGGAGATAAAGGTGGGTAGAAAACCACAAAAAGACCAATGGAGCATAATTTACAACAAACTCGTTTATTAACATGAAAACCTTTACCATCCACTTACCTTGGTGGAATTTATGAAAACAATATGAGAAAAACAATAACATCATCATAATCATTGAATAATCTAAGCTGTAAAACATAACACTTATCACGCCTCTTGTAATTCAATCATTGTACAACATATCTCTTTTCTCATTTACCAGCCTACTAGTATCCGTGGGGGTCCATAGGGGTTCCGCTACCCGTTAATCTTTAACATTCATAATCAGTTTCCAGGGCCGTCCCCATACCCCGTCCGGTATGGGCGCCAAAACCATGAACCTTAATACCCCGTCCGGTATGAGGGTGAAACGGGCCGTCCCCATACCCCGTCCAGTATGGGCGCCAAAACCATAAGATCTCCATACCCCATCCGGTATGTGAGACCACAATCCCGGTAGGGTTCCCTACGGACCCGGTCCGTCCACCATCTCCCAAGATATCTAGTCAGGCTGACCCATGATACAATTATCAGTCTACACAACCTTTCATTTTCCTTTTTCTCAATCAGCATCATCAATTCACATACAAACAAGCAAACAGTAATTCATGCCAAACAGACAACATACAGTATCAGTTCTTCAGTCATTCAACCCATAATTAATAAAACAGTAATATATGCATTCGGAACTATAAAATGAACACATCAAACCCCATAATGCATTTAAAGCTGTAAACAGTGTAAAACAGGCCAAATAACAGTAAATCATCAATCACACTAGACTCGGGCTCCATTAGCAACCTTAAGCAATTTCACACATGCGTTAATTCAAGAAATACCGTTTTTATCATTTTGAACTTTAATACCGTGATAGGAAATAGGGTGAGGGGTCCTTACTTGTTTTCGGGATCCGAATACGATTCACAGTGCGCCTGCAGGCCGTCCCTAATTTTCCCTGAATTTTTCCCGGGGAACTGAAACACACTAACAGTACCTGCACGTGTTCCAAAAAAAATCCAAATTAGCCCAGGGCCCCTTTCGGACCAAATCGCAACTCCGGCACGGCGGCTCTGCCGTGCTCCGGCGACGGCGCCGCCGCTGGCGGCGGCGAGTCGCCTCGGGTTGGCTGTTTTCGGCCGAATTCGGCCACGCTCGCATTGGTCCTTGTCAGAAAACAACCCTAGGGCCCTCGGGGGGCCAAAAATCACGGAAAAACGGAGCTTACCGGCGGCGGCGCTCTCGGGTGCAGCGGCTCTCCGGCGAGGTTCGTGTTTTGGTGATTCGGCTCCGGTCAACCTGTAGAGAAAAGAATGGTGATCACGGTGATATAAAAATTGCATCGAACGGAGGCCGGGAAGGGCCTCGTCGGAGGCAAAAACCGAGAGGGGGCGCGGCGGCGCCGCTGGGCTTCGGCCGCGTATTCCGGCCGTTTGGCTGGGATTTCGGCCTCGATTTGGCCATAGGAGGAATCAGCGGGGAAAAACGAGTCGGGGGTATGAAATTTACCTCGATCGGCGGTCGGAAATTTCCCCGGTGCGGCGGCGAGTGGCGGCGGGTGGCGGCGGTCGGCCTCTGGTTCGTCTTCTCCGGCGAGCGGCTGGCGGCTAGGGTTTTTGGTCTGGTGTGGGGGTTCTATTTATAACCCCTTGCCTTTTGATCACAGCCGTTCATTTCGTTTTAATCTGGGCCATTCGTTTTTGATTGAATCTGGGCCGTCCGTGCGTTTGAATTTGGGCCGTCCGATCGCGCGATTGATCTGGGCCGTCGGATCACACCCACGCGGATCGCCAACGTGGCTCCTTTCGGAGTGACGCGATCTTGCCACGTGGCAGGCCCTGGTTGGCCGGGACTGCTGACCGGGCCTGCTGACGTGGCTGCTGACGTGGCCCTTTTTTTTTTTTTTTTTTTTTTTTTTTTTTCCGGGTGCTACAAAACCATTCTAAGATCACATACTGTTAAATATTTTGTTTGATATTTATGTAGATTAATCAATTACTCACAAAAATTTTAATTGAAAACAAATTAAAAATGTTAAATTTATATAAACCATATAACTACATTAAAAATTAAGTTTTGGATAAGAAAACCCATTCCTAATTAAGTTTTTCATTCAATTAAAAGCATATTGTTCAGATTTTTTATATTTTTATAAACAGAATTGTTGTAATCTAAACCCAACAAAATGGAACCCTGAACTTTAACTGCAAGTCAATGTTCGTTTATCAACAAACTCATCTATAAAATTTGACTCTGCAAAATTTAGCCTGAAATAAAATCACCATTGAATCCTTCCCATAAATTGAGCCAAATCAAAATTAAAAGGCCTTGTAAAAATTGAGAAAATAAAAACTAAAAAGCCTTCTTGTGTTTCAAGATGACACAAACATGACAAGGAATATGAGGGCCACAATGAATTTTTCAACCTCACTTTTTGCCCCAGTATAGCAATATTAGATGTAAAACATTCAAGTTCAACTATTCTAATTTCTTCACACTGTTTTACTTAGAGTTAAAGGTGTTACGTACTGTAAGGATCTGCATTCTTAACAATCCAAGGATGCTCAATGATCTTCTGAAGAGACAGTCTCTTGGAGGAGTCTTTTACCAGAAGCTGCAAAAATTTTCAAATGATTATATATTTGTTCAAAATTAAATTCATCGAATGCTACATTTTGCTTTTGACCGTGCATGAATGGGTGGATAGTCAAGGATAAATTTACCCGACTAATGAGACTTTTGGCTTCTGCAGAAACAATTGGAGTTGGAGGAAAGCTTAGGTCAACTTTCATGATTCTGTACACCATTAAATGATCATTATCAGTTTTAGTAGAGATCAGAAGATTATGTTAATTATTTATATGAAATTGCCCTTCCTAATCCTGTAGTGTGATGACAAAAAGAGAAAAGTAAATTTACAGTGAATATTACTCGCTCTACAGCAGCAACAGATTCGAATTTACTATAGAATACTTGGGGAGTAGTATATTATCCTTCATTCGGACCCTACCCTCATAGTTACCAGGAGTGCTGAATCCCTGCAATCTACATACCAAAATTTCGTTTGGGTTCCCTTAAGTTTGGTTCTTGATCCGGATCTCTAAAATTAGGAACCCATAATTAAGAAAACTGGAGCATTGATTCTAAAGATAGTGAATGAAGAAAAGGCATGGAAAGAGAGTAGAAGTTTAATTTTAGTGATTTCTTTTTCAAAATTGGGATTAGTTAGTGAGGTAGAAGAGGAAGATGCTCAATTGAAGAGCAAGAGCTCATCAAACAACATTTTTTTTTTCTTGGACCTTAAAACATATTGGTTTCCTTTTTGAGAATTTGTAAATAATTTAAAAAAAAAATTATAAAATGAGTATCAATTTGTCTAATAATAAAAAAGACTAGAATCCTAGAATTTTTTTTTTTAAAAAAAGCACAAGAACCAATATACTAGAGTGTATTATTAAACTATCACTTGGAATCCAAATAATGAACCTAATGAGTGATTTAATAGAACTCCAAACCAAAATAACGATCCGATGAGCTGACTCCACTTTGAACCTAAATTTAGCAGCTAAAATATTTCATATCTGCATTACAATTGAATGTACCATGTCTTAGTTAAAATGGTCACAATATCACAAAAGTAATTAGGTATTATTCTGAAGGTAAGCATTTATATAACCATTAGCTATAAGGAGATAATACTAAAATAATCAATACTCTGTTTGTCCTACTCTTTTACAGGAAAATAATCTACTAAGGATCCGTTTGGTGCAGCTTTTGACAATAGTTTTTTTATTTCAAAAATATTTTTGTAACTAAATCGGTAAAATGTAAAGTATGTTTGACAATAATAAAAAATAAAATTTACTTTTAATAGTTTTAAAAACAAAAATTACATTGTAACTTTTGTAAAATGTATATCATTTTTATTAAAAATTTATACTTCAAATCGCAAAAATTAATTTCATGAAATAAAATACTTCTAATTTTTTAAAGTCACAGTTATTTTTATTAAATATCAAATAATTTTTTACTCAAAATATTTTTAGTCAACAGTTATTTTAACAACCCTTTAAAAATTCACAACACAAATTACAAACTGTCCAAACATTCACTTATTGATATCTTAATCTAGATAAAAATTCAAAAACTTTGGAAAAAATACCCTTACCTTCTGAATGTGTCACCTTGACTCTCAGCCTCAAACGGAGGGAAACCATAGAGGAACTCATAACACAATACACCGAGAGTCCAGTTATCAACTGCATAATCATGAGCTTTATTTTCTATCATTTCTGGTGCTAAATAATCCAGAGTTCCACACATTGTGTGCCTCTTGCTCCTTGACTGTACAGACCAACCAAAGTCGGCAATTTTCAATCTACCCTGCAAATTTGACATAATGATCACATGGGATTATCATTAGAGACAGATAAATGAAGTAATAGATGATGGCAAAGGACTTGCTGTGTTCAAATGGAGTAGTTAGTACATCCATTGGTAAATTATCTTCTATAAGGGGTATATGCTGGAGATTATATCTCTTTTTATTATTAATGGAGTGCTCAGAAGCTCACCTCATAAAGTTTAATGGTCAATTTATATTTATCTTCTAATAACAATGGAAGGGGATAATACGAAGTTACCATTTATCCATTATACAAATAATTTCTTGTATGCCTATCAGTTAAAAAGGCCACAAAGTTAGTACGCTGTTAAGCTATTAAAGACAGCCCAAATAAAAATTTCACAATTATTTCCATCAACTTCAAAAGCCAATGGCAACTTACAGAAGTCTGAAAAGCAGGGTCTCACATACTACCTTATGATCAAGCAACAAATTCTCTGGCTTGATATCCCTGTGAATTACATGCTTCTCGTGGCAATATGCCAATGCACGAGTAAGACTAGCAATGTACTGAAATTCACAAGAACCAATGAATAAACCTCCAGAAAAGATGAAGATGAAAGTCCAACATAGAGAACATATAACAAATTTCACAAGATAAAAACACTCAGATTAGAGAATGGCATTATTGAAAACCCCAACACGAAAAGTGACACGTAAAAGTAAGAACAGCTTGCGTTAAACATGAAGAAACCCCAATGTATCGTATATCTGAAATCCTATTAGCCTAAAAAAAAGGAAAGGAAACAACCGAATCATAAAGACGTAGGTAATTTTTTTTTTTTAAAAAAAGGTAGAAGAAAAGCATTTTATGCAATTAATTGGATAAGATGAACATCTATAATCAAGACATTGAAACAATTCTTCTTTTCTTTCAAACTACGAGGAACAAAGACGAACGAAATTCAAAAAATTAAACACGTTAATGCAATAGGATTTGAGGATAGACATATCGAGAGCAAAGGAGAGTCACCGTGGCCGCTTGGTTTTCACTGAGATAACCATTTTTCCTGAGCTCTCTATAAAGCTCACCGCGGTGGGCATATTCAAGAATCAAGAAAATGCGCTCACTGTCATGAAACCAACCGTAAAGACGCAGTACGTTCGGGTGGTGGAGACTGGTCTGAATCTCCATCTCCCTCCTTAGCTGATGATGAATCCTATACTTCTCTATCTGCTCCTTGAATATTATCTTCAACGCCACTATGTATTTGCTCTACAAATTAGAAAACGGATACATGAGCAACAGCCAGAAAAAAGAAAACCATAAACAACTAAATTCGAAAACATAGTCTGCGATGCAAAATCAACTTTTCTTCAATTCGAACGAGAATTGAATTGTAATCAGTAATCAACAGAAGCATTTATGGATCAACAAATCAAATTGTTTTCATGAACAAACAGGAAATAAACACCTGGACTTCTCTGGCGAGGTAGACTCGACCGAACTTGCCTCTGCCGAGGGGTTTTCCGATTTCGAAATCTTTCAAGGACCATTCTCTCTTGGGATTAGTCGGTTGAGTATTCATTACAGAACCTCGGTCTTTATTCCTAATTTGATCGGAGGAACAAGAAACCAATTACTAGTTAAGAGTTTCGTAAGATTTGGGCGGACGAGTGAGAGAATTTGAATTTTAAAATCCCTCGACTGGGCGGGCTGTGGACAGGTCCCGGCGCTGTTTGTCATTTTTCTTCTTGTTTTTCATATCAAAAAGCCCATGGCCCATGAAAAAAAATAGAAGAAAACACAGAATTTATTACTTTATTTAATTTTAAAAAACTAAATGCATATTTATAGTTTTCTTAATTACTTCAATGTAACTCAAGGATCTTATAAAGTTTAAGGTGTACTTGTTTTATAATTGCAAAAAAACAGTAAATTTTTTAATCCAAATGTAGGCGCTTAATTTTTTAATTATTAAAATTATAGTGGCGCTGATTGTTTTCATTAATTTCTTTAGTTTTTTTTTTTTTTTTGTATTAAAAAATTATTAAGTATAATTTCAAAAAAAAATAATAATAATTTAACGTGCATAGTTATTTTTGAAATCAAATCTAATATTATTAAATGTTTATTTAGCCATTTCTATTAAACCAGACAGCCGATACATACGCCCACATTGCAAGTGGCAACTAAATTTTATACTGTTAGATTTTTTCCCTGGGCAAGCACTTCAAGATTTAACACATTATCGGACAAATATTTTTTTGAGAACCAAACATCTTTTTTCGCTACACCCTTAAAATAATAAAGAATATAAAGGATTTACACAAATCAAACATGTGAGTTATGACATGTACTGGAATTGCACTACAAGACTTTGCCTAAATTTGCTTTTTCGAGGACAATTTGTTTGGAATCTTGTTTAATACTAATGGTACAGTTTGGAGATTAGTTAGCACCAAACTCTTCATTCCATCGCTCAAGCTCTTCCCACTTACTTTTTTGTTCAACCTATTTAATAACAATCATGGCCTTTCGAAAGTCTTCGTATCTCAATGCTCTTACCTGTTCAATAGGGTACCAGTTAATAATACCAACTACTATCTCAATCGAATTCTATCTTACCACTTCCTGTCAAATACTTGCAATGTAGAAAAAAAAAAATAATAATCAACGACATGTAAGAGACCTGCATGGAATTGAAATTAACCCAAATTGAAAGGGTTAACTTTGTACAAGTTTTAATCCATATTTTTAGGAAAATAGCACCAAAATAATGAATTGGAATGCAAGTATAGGTAAAAGATAATGCATGAAGTGATGCGAACATGGCAGTACTATGCAGAAAGTAAAAGTCATTTTTATATTTCACCACAAAACTTCAATACGTTTTAGTTTATTGCAGTTTAAATTTCTCACTCAATTTTAGACAATCCTATCTTACCTTCAGAGTTTGAGTATCTCCGTGAAATCTCTTTCCTCTCAAAAGACAGGACCCGATCAAATAAATTTCTTAAATGTAGAAGCAGATGGCAGTCATGTATCTAAAATCCAAAATTTCCAAGCCTTTTCATTGGAATAAAATAATTTCAAATGAACTGCACGACACATGGCTAAATGAAAAATTGTGGGTGATAGACCATTCGATTTATGGAAATACATCCAAGAATGATACTAAATAAACAAAATCAAGATTCAGTAATTTAGCCATAGCAAGAAAAGAAGCCATGAATTAGTGGCCAACCTGATCTGCCTTGACAGTAAGAACACTTGCACCAAGCTCTCTAATCCGCATCATTGCAGCTTCTTCACACAAGGCTCTCAGATCACTTCTGGAATATCCTGCAAATCCACAATGTCATGTCAGAAGTTACGAAAGCAGATATTGCAAGAGATGGAAGGTAAAACTGACACCAAAGAAGAGATGTGGGATTGGATGACTAAATGTCTAGCGGCAAGGCAAAAGCGACATGTATGTGGTGCTACATGTCTTTCTTGGCCAGAGTCACTTCTCTGATTAAAGAATAATGTGCTCATGGAACTTGAACAAACCCATAATATACAGATTAATATCCTACCTTCTGTTTCTCTCACAAGTCTTTCCAGATCTCCACCTGCAAGAGCTAACAATAATTAATTGATACCTCTTTTCAGCCACCAAGAATCAGTAACTGCTTAGAATTGTTCATTAAACAAGCTTGACAATAGTCCAGCACCACTCAACTGAAAGATTTATGTATTACCCAACCAATTACAGAACAGGAGCAAAAGTTGCCAGGCAAGGAGAAGGTTTGGCCCCTCCACTGGTGCTTAAGAGGAAGTCTCCTGACATTTTAATCGGGTAAAGGTACATATATTCTCTTACCTGGTCCAAAGTTTCAGAAAGCATGCTATAGCAGTTATACGTCAATTTAAAAGACATCGACGGTAGGAAGAAATATATCAGCACTATGTAGAAGTCCAAAAGGGATTAGAAAAAGAATTATTGTTCAAGAAATTTTCCTTACTGTGTTTCCTTGTCACCATTGTCACTAACAGAATAGGACCAACGTTAGCCATGCACGAACTACTTTGACTGCCCTAGTGAAAGAATAGGCATTTCTGACGCAACATACTAGATTACTAGCAGATAAAATCCAAGTTGCTTAACAAGCTTCCTAACGTTAATTCAGACAATTCCTTTTTCATCTTTACTTTACTTCCATCTCTAACTGAAAATATCGAGGCATTCCCTTCACCAATTTGTTGATTAGTTGTGTCAGTCGTGTGCTCCAGATCAGATCTTAGAGCCGCGGACACTGAAGTAGCAAAACAATCCGGCTGCTTGCTTTCCTGATCATTCTACATGATCAGCACCCTCAATTCCATTTTTCATCAGGTACTTAACTAGGTTAATCACTTCTTAAAAAAGTGATGAGAAGAGAAAAAAAAAAAGAAGAGACAAAAGGATATACACTGAGCATCTTCAAATATTTACTCACCAGGAAAAATGGTATATATATATTATATGTAAGCAAATCTTAGTTTATAGGCTACTATCACCACTTTAGAACCATGCTCTTGTCTAATAGTTTTATGTATAATAGACAATGCAGTTGGATAAATGTTGAGTACTAGATTTTATTATTTAATTATTTTATTATATTATTTAGTATTATATAATTAAAATTTTATGAGATTAATAATATCACATGATTAAAATTTATTATAATAAAAAATTTTCTATCTCTAAGTTAAAAAATTATATAAATACTTTAATATTTTATTTGAATCGTAATAAATGATAGGATTTTAATACATGATACTTCATGAGTTTGAAAAAATCATATTTATTTCAACTTCTAATGGTAAAAATTGTATCTAACCGGCAAATTTGGGATGAATTTTAAAACCACTGAATTGGTATTATGTGATTGACATGTTACTTTTTTTTTTCTTTATAGCCCCGTATAATATAATTAATTCTATTTTTATCATCATAATTTATTATTTATTTTATTAAATATAAAAATTTAATTTGTAATAATTATTTATTTAAATACAGATATAATTATATTGGTAAACAATTTAATTTTTTTTTTCATTATATATTTCTTATATACCACATACTATTACATATAATAGGTATGGATTAATTAGTAATTTAATTGAAAATGCAACCATAACATTCTATCATCCAAACAAAAATATACCATTAACATACGTTACTATACAATCATGCAAACATAAAAAAATTGTCATTCTCATCCTATTTCATTGCTGTCCAATTACTGCTATTATCATACATTAATTAACCATCATTAAAATTTATCCAAATAAAGTCTAAGTGTAACACCATAAATGATGAAAAATAAAATTTTTTTCTCCAAAACCCAAATATAATATCAGAGCCAAATAAGATGTTTTTGAGTTCTAATTTTAGAATTTTTTTCAAACTATAAAATAACATAATAGACTGGGCTGGTACCCACTTATCCAGATATACACACATCACCACCCTAGAAAATCAAGAAAGAGAGCCAAAGAAAAACAGATTTTGATCTTTTTCCTTCCATCCTGACCACTATATGAAAATAGAGGCGGCGAGCGGATCATACCAGATCTGCTCGTGACCGGCCTGTCCGGACAAATCCAGTCAGTGAACAGTCTGTGCATGTCAATCGGGTGTTTTTTGAAGAACAAGTCGCGACTGTCGTGATTTGCTCGAAGAGAGAGTTGGAGAAGAGAGATTAGAGGTGGATCTGCAAAGTCCGTCGGTCGTCATCTATGCGTGAAACTAGAAGAGTCGGAGGAAGATCGTGTGGCGGAGCTCGCTGAAGAAGAAGTTTGCGGCAGCTGAATCGTGAGAAAGACCAAATTCTAGTAGTTTTTCAATGCAGTTTTCACCAAATTCGTGTTCGATCTAATTAACTGTGCGGTGGGTGTTTTTGATAATTTTTGGCAGCGGTGAGTGGTAGCCGACAACCAAGTGTGAAGTTATGGCGGCCGTGCGTGTGGCATTTTCCGACGATTGCTCATTGGCAGCATGTGGCGGTACAGTGACTGAGCTTCTAGCAACGCATGAGAGCTCGTGTGGTACTCTAGTGGAGCCCAAGCCATTTTAGAGCCGAGCTCGAGCTATTTTAGAGCTGAATTCGCGTCATTTTGAGTCAAGCCGAGCTATTTTAAACCGAGTCGAGCCGTTAGAGCTGAATCAATCTGAGCTACTACCTGATATATTTGGTTCTAGTTTGTAAAACTTTTTGGCATCGTTTAGCAATGGTAAAGTGGAGGATAACTCTTCATAACTTAGTTTACAATTTGAATATGTGTGATATCCCTACACTAATTTAAGCGGTGTTGAGTAACATATTTTATTATTTAATTATTTGAATTTATTATCTGGTATTATATAATTAGAATTTTGGTAGAATAATAATTTTATATAATTAAAATTTTAATAGAATAAAAATTTTTCAAGTTAGAAATTCTATAAATATCTTAAATATAACAACATAAAAGATAAGAAATAAATTTTTTTTTCAAAAATCAACAATAGATTTGAAAAAGTTGAATCAGATAATTAGGGATGATTATGCTCTAATAGCTGACTGAGTATTAACTGTAGAACTAGCCATACAATGTCGTCAGTTGGTCCAGATTACCACAAATAAGATACAAATCACTGTAACAACAGTAATTATTTTTCATTTCAGCACATAAAACAAGAGCAAAGCAATGCCTATTGATTGAATCTAATAGGGAAATCTGCAGAAAGAGTAGCATATTTCATCCATAAAAATTCCAAATGGATGTTTGGATATAGCCACCATAAAAAGAGTCCAAACAAGCTTTCGGCCTCTCCCACCTGATTAAAATCAGATAACCAAAATTTATTGAAAGTTTAGACGAACATCAAGAATAAATCATCTAATACTACATCATTATAAGGTCAAACCCATTTCGATGTTAAGGAAGATGCAGAAATATTAAAAAATATGGTCTTTGACTCTGATGCAACTGTTTTGGCAAACATGGTCTTCCCATTACCAGGTGGGCCAAAAAGAACAAACCTTGTGAAAACAAAACCATTATTTGTGAAATATCATGAACTGTTGCACTAATATTCCTGAATGTTACCTCTAGGAAGCCAATGTGTAGATTTTAAATCAAACCGATCACAATTTTTTGCTATAATTTTAAAGAGAGAATTTAGAGAGAGAGAGGGCAAGAAAATAGAGTATGCTTATGCATTCTCCTCTGTTTTCTAGCTTCACTTAAGCTTGGAGAATTTTGGGAAGAAAGAACTTTTTTTGGCATATTATTGATTGATTTGAAGTGGTATTTATACACCAAATTAAATTAGAGTCCTACTCAAAAACATAATTTGAATCCTAACCAAAAAAAAAACTTTAAACCTAAAATTTAACGTAATCCTAAACCGCTTGCTTGTCGGTGTTCTTTATGCATTCTGCCACCTCTCTTTTATTTCCAGTAGACTTCTATTTTAACTAAAATCCTTACATTGAACACAATGAATAAATCTCTTCTTTTAGTTGGCAAAACCGTTTCTCCTTTTCAAGGCGAGTTGCAAAAATTCCGATAAACAAGTCAAAACTATTTGAAAACACAAATAGAGCGAGAATTTTATTGACTCCTTACCAACATCCTTCCACTTGATAGACAGACTTCTGTCCACTATTGTTGTATTTATCATTTCAATCAACTTTGATTCATAGCTATTACTGGACTCTTGTACAAGTTTTGGGCTTACAACCCTACTTGTTGGTTTATTACAATTTCATCCCCTATACTAGATTTTTCAGGCTTTTGTGGCATGTTTTTCTAGGATTGGATGGTATAGAAGAACCTACAGTTGTACGTGAAGGAACTAATGTACTTTGCAAAAATTTCAATAAATTAGAAAAAATATGCATAAATGACATAAGATCAACACTGATCATTAAATCACATCACAAGAAAGTGAAGGAAAGACTTCGAGAAAATCATCAAAAAAGGACATGAAGTAAAAGCAAAATGATGCAAAGACCCCTGCACCTAGATACAAATTAGTCATGTGGTTGGATCTCCAATATAACTGCTCCTTACTTTTTAATAACATAGCTCAATTGCTTCTTATAACAAACAATATGTTGTTGGTGATCCCAACAGTCCTTTATAAATAAGTTTTCCAAACAAAGAACCACATAAATTATTGAAGCTCACAAAAGTATCTTAATTATAATAAAAAAATGTGAAGACCCTTACGCCTTAATAGAAATTAACCGTGTTGGATCTCCTATATTTTTGTGAGCTTCAATAGTTTATATGA